TTGCTAATCATTTGAATATTTCCGACAGGTCTAAATTATTTTCTGTTAAAGTAAAAAGTAAAGTGGCAACAAATGTTTATGCTCAGGTAAAGTACAAGAGCCTTAAAATAATACTAAGTACAGCATAGACAAAGTACAGAGTGAATGAGGGTTAAATAGTACATTTCCATTTTGAATAGAGCGTAGTTTCAACGATAAAAATCACCTTACTTACAAGTTTCTTTGGCATTTTCATCGGCATCTCTTTTACATTACATGTTAGACTCTCTTGGTCTTCCTCGGAGTTGAAGAGGTGGGCGGCACCCCGGGGTCTCTGTCCGGACTTCCATTGGCTCATTATCTAAACTTTGGCCCCTCTGGGACAAGTTGCAGGTCTTTGGTGATGTGATGACAACTGAGTAAACGCCCCCCGCTGAAAAACACCAGAAGATGCGATTAAAAGCTAGTAGGTGAACGTAAAAATCATGACTTTACCAAATGCAAAACATTATGAAAAATATAGTATTGTATAATTATTAGTACACAGTTTGCAATTGGGACATATCCAGAGTTGTTGGTTTTTCATTGCACAAACCCCAACTTGTGATTGTGCTAGCCATTTAATGCTAGCACAGGCTTCTGCTAAGGTATGGCTTCCTCTTTCTCCAGTGAGTATTTATTAAAGGGCAGTGAATGATTGTGTCTCCATTGGATTTGTTTTATACAGTAACATCAGATAATTGCCCGCAATCCCCAATACATCCACAAAGACTAAATCTAGACTAATGAGGAAGATTTTAAGCTATAGAGGTTACAGCATTTTTTCATGGATTTACAGAAAATGAAAATGTAAACTAACAGCTTGAGATGATGTGTTGCACAGGCAGCCATCTTTAAGCCCTACTCTCTTTTTCTCGTTGCGTTTGTGATGTTCAGTGAAATGTTGTCCAGTGTCATGAGCCAATTTGACTCCTCACATGCCCGGTGTTCACATTTCCACTCAGCTGTAAACAGCCTTACAGCCAATGTTGCTTCTCTGCGTGATGCTGGGCAACTGCTATGAGCAAAGAGCAACCCTTGCCATATATTCGACTTGAATCATCCAACACTTTACCCTTTGGAGCACCCATTGGCTTTAAGTGGTCAAACGCCATCTTATTTTATTCATGTTACGGCACTTCTGCGCCCTTTACTGAGGCACTCTTGGAGCAAAAGTCTTACCCAGTTTCCTCTCAACAACTGTCAGCCAGATCTGATTTCTCCTTTTTAATCTTAATTGTTTCCATTTAATTTAATCCTGGGAGTAACAGTTGTAACATCATAGAGCATTTTCTTCTGCATCTCTGTCAGCTACAAATGCAGTTGTGGGACCGCGCTGAATGAAATGGGCAAAGACAGCTTCCCAGTCGCCAGGGGTGTTATTCTAAGATCAGGCTGGAATCAGAAGTTTTGTCGGTTTCAGTTAACCAGGGCGCTGCTAAATGGCTTAAGCCAAGCATCAGTGCACCCAGCAAAGGCTCTGAGATATTGCTGCATGACAGCTAAAGTAGCTGGGTGCATCACGGACATGTACCCAGCCTAAAGGGCCCTCGGGCTTTCTCTTCTTCATGACTGACTTTTAAGTGTTTTATCCCTGGGACACAGCGATAATGTGCATTAAGATCAAGAACACTTATTTCAATTGTGCTCTATGTTTTATTCTGGCCTTAAATTCAGCAGTGTCTAGACTGTGCCTTTCTGAAAATAGCTAACATGGGAGGATCCAATGAATTTAAAGTGGACCTATCATGCTATATTTGAACAATATATTGTAGGGCCATACCTATATAAAGTATATAAATATAGTTTTTTTTTCAAAATACCAAACAGATCCTGCATTTTAGCCATGCCTCATTTCGCTCTATTTGCTCTTTCCAGCCCTGTTTTTGCAGGGGGCTGATTCTGTCAGCTGCAGCTGACCATGCCCCCCTGCAGGAGAGGGGAGCGTGCTTTGAGATTAGCTGCTGGGCTGTCAGAAGAGGGGGAAAAAAATAGATCTCCGTCCTCCGTGTTTTATTGTTATATGATTATATAGAGTCATTATTCATTTGTTTTAAAGCTCAATAAATAACAAAGAAGACCTTTGACCGGCACTTTTCTAATTTTGTCCGGAAGATTTAAACTTTAACGGACATGTTGACCGGCGGAAAAAAATCTAACTGAAACTCTGCCGCACGGTCCCCTTGTTCCTTAGAAGAGGCGGAGAGGTGGGTGTTTGTCATCTGCTGGTGGACTAACCGGAGAGAATTACAGTGCTTGCCTCGACGGGGAGGGATTTAATTGAATTACAGGAGCAAACGCTTGCCTCGGGGAGGGAGAAAAAGAGCCACAGCGGAGAATAAACAGAATGGCAACCATGCACGGGAAGTCTTCTTCGCTGCTTTTGTGGCAGACTACAGCGCCACTTACAGGCCTGGCATATGTACTACAGCGTCTCCAGCGCTTTCAAGCGGCAGTGGCCGTGGCCCACCCCCCCATTCCCCTGATAGGTGGAGAGTTGCCGATATAGGCGGAGCAACCCTTTTCTGACGTCAAAAATATTAACGTCTGTATCAGCTCCTTTGCAGCCCCGTTTTTAGAGATTTGGTTATGGAGGAAAAGAGAGAGGGTTGTGTTTTCTGACACTTGGTGAGTTCCCTGGAACACCGGGGACACATATTCATGTATAAAAGACGTACAAAAGTGCCTTTTGCATGATAGGTCCCCTTTAAGTATGCTAACATTAGCCTTCACTATTATTTTGTTACAAAGCAGAAATTAGATTCTCTTTAAAATGTAGTTGGTTAAGCATTAGCAAAGCCATATCATTTTTTGTAAAAACGTATGTTAACAGCGTCACTATTAAAAAGAGGTATTATTCCTCAGTCTGTCCATATACAAAAACATCTACTGGTCAAAGCAGCAGTGATACATTATTTTTCTGTGGTTCGAAAGGATAAGGCTGATGTTGTTCAATATTTCATTTGTTTTTCTGTAAAAATACCAAAACCAGTAATTCCTTAACCCAGTGTTTCCCATACTCATTAGTGGCGGCCAAAGATCTTTCATAATGGGTCACAAATAAAGGCTATCTCATTTCCTAAAAACAACGGAGTCCCCAAACTGAATCAAAGAGTGCATGTTAGGCACTATTTTTAGAGGTGGATTTGGTGCTCCAATTCGTGTTTACAGCAGAAGGACTGATTATTTATTTGTATATAACTATAGTGCCTTTTTATAACTGAATGAAGAAACATGGTACCATCTACTGTAAGAGTATGGCTAATTAATGCACTATTAGTTTGACAACAATAGAGCTCTAGGGCACAGAGGAATGTTTCAAAGTTGGCTAAAGAGACATTACTTGTTAGCATCAACTAATGGTTGCTTTTGGTAAACAAAAAATGTAATACCACCAATATCATGCTATAAAACTATTTCTGCTTCTAGACAAGAACTATTCTCACACACAGTTAAAGGTAGGGTAGGTAAGAATGGAGAAAACAGCTTGAGTGCGCCCGAATTTGAAAGTAGTGTACGCAGCCGAAAACAATCTGACCCTTTCTAATATGGGCTCAGAACAGTCTCATAATAGACACATGCACACAGAAGGATTCACACTTGTGTTTTTCAATGCGCACACAAATGTGTTCCGTTTCATACATGCAAATAAAATACAAATACAGAAAAAAGTTTTACATATGTATTTTTGATCCTCACATATTTGTTTTCCGTTTAAAACCTCTGAACCTGCAAACACAAACCGCTTTCTGTGCACGGATCGCTGTGCATTCGTGTGTGGGTTTTTTGAGACTCCCCTGACGGTCACCCGATTCATACTTGTCATTTTTTCTATCTATAGCCAATCAGATGTCTCCTTCATTCTAAGCCAATCACATGAGCGCGCCCCCACGAGGGTATGATTTATTGCGTTCATGACACTTCATATACGCATTTTACGCTGTCCGGTCAGCTCGCTAAACAGAGGGCGGAGCTTCAGGTGATCACCTGAAGCTCCGCCCTCTGTTTAGCGAGCTGACCGGACAGCGTAAAATGCGTATATGAAGTGTCATGAACGCAATAAATCATACCCTCGTGGGGGCGCGNACTATCTTCCCTGCCCGCCTCAGGGTTCTGGAGGCGTGCAGGTCATGGAGGGATGGCAGATTGCAGCTCTGACACGCGGATGACACGCTGCCAGATGGCGATGGAGGAAGTGAGGATGATGGAGACGTAGAAGTTCACCATCATTGTCTTTGGTAGGTTGAATTTCTTCAGCTGCCTCAGGAAGAACATCCTCTGCTGTGCTTTTTTGATGAGGGAGCCAATGTTCTGCTCCCGTTTGAGGTCCTGGGTGATGATGGTGCCCAGGAAGCAGAAAGACTCCACAGCAGTTACTGGGGAGTCACACAGAGTGATGGGGGCGGGTGGGGCTGCGTTCAAATACAAGCAAGCCCCTTTTAAAGACTCAACCTATCATTGAATACAACTAATAACAGCTTTTCACTGTACAAATGCGGCATCTAAACCAAAAGAGACAGTTTTGACATCATTTGAATCGGACAGTACGCAGCTTTAATGTGCTCCGTGTGGTTTTCGAGCTGCTGCTGTCAGAGTAAGTGTGAACCCAGAAATAAGGGCAGCATCAGCTGGTTCTCACTTTTAATGTGTCAGCTGAAATAAGCACATTGGGCCCATCAGGCATTTGGTGTCAGATCAACTTTCCAGACTCCCTTTTGCATGTGTGCTGTACATACCAGACTCTCCAAACTGTATTTATAACCTGGCAGCCTTACAGGAATGTAGACAGCATTTTTGTTTGATAGATCTAAAATGCGGCCAAGGTTTTGATCTAAAAGCGCATTGATGAAAACTGATTAAACCATGCTGCAATGTTAGGGGTTACAGTAGCAGTAACAAAGTCATTTAAATAGGATTTCATGAATATTATAACATCTACTAAGTCAAGGGATGTCTTCAAGCTGTAAAAACAATGGCAGACAAAGTAAAAGACAAATGTTTTTCTCTCCAGCAGAGCAGAATGAAGAGGAAGTCGACGGCATGGAGACTCCTCCCGAGTATCGTGACGACATGATAAAGTTCAACCATCACACCAACGCTCAGATGATCAGTATCTTGAAGAAAACTGAGGAGAAGTGCGAGGACATAGCGAGGACGTACAGCATCGGCCGCAGCATCGAGGGCACGGAGCTGCTCGTCATCGAGTTCTCCAAAAACCCCGGAGAACATGAACTGCGTGAGTACAGCTCGGCAAAGTCTGCATTATTTGTCGTTTATCAACAGTCCAGTTACTGTTAATGTGTCTGTAGTGGAGCCAGAGATGAAGTACGTGGGCAACATGCACGGGAACGAGGTCCTGGGCCGCGAGCTGCTGATCCTCCTGGCTCAGCACATGTGCTCCGAGTATCTGCTGGGCAACGAGCGCATCCAGACCATCATCAACACCACCCGCATCCACATCCTCCCCTGCATGAACCCCGACGGGCACGACCTGGCTGTGTCTGGACTGCAGGACAATAACTACAGCGAGGACGACGAGGAGGTCAGTTCTCCACAGCTGCAGAGATGTATCACGGAGTTGTTCTGGCAGTTTGTTTTGTGATACATTTGGAAAGCAAACCTTTTAAAATGTTAGATGAACCGCATGGGACAAACATACCTGAGTTTGTAAGATATTTTAATACCTTTTAGCAGTAGTGCAGAGAATTTAATAATCCGTTTGAAATGTAATCTTTAGATTTAAGATTTGGGTTTCAGATTGTTTTTTAGAAAATAAATAAACCAGCTTGAGTCTTTGATCATGTGATGAACACATTTTCTTACAGTTATACAGTAATATTAACAAATGAAGTTAAAGCCTAAGCAAGCAAGCTAACAAAACATATATATTTGCCATAAAGTGGGATACTACAAATAAAGAATGATATAGCAACAACATCCAAACTATCCAAAACTAAATAAAAATACAGTTTCATTCAAACATTCCACACATTAATGAATAATACTCTACGTCTTATTTCCTGTAACACTTATGCATTCCACAGGGTCCCAGATATGACTCTTCCAACGTTGGCCGGAACAACGCTCAGAACATCGACCTGAACAGAAACTTCCCCGACCTGACCTCCATCGCCTACAGCCGCCGCAGACAGAGGAGTTACAGCACCGACCACATCCCCATCCCAGACTCTTACTGGTTTGGTAAGGTACAGTATGGACCCTTCTCCATAGATCTCATGGCAGTGAATGTCAAGTCCTGATTTGTTTAATTTCTCGGTCCAAATAAGTCTTAATGCTGCGATCCAGGTTGCCCCGGAGACCTACGCCGTCATGAAGTGGATCCGCTCCATCCCCTTCGTGCTCTCCGCTAACTTCCGTGGTGGAGACCTGGTGGTGTCCTACCCCTACGACCTGTCCAAACACCCGCTGCAGCGCAACATGTTGTCCCAGACGCCGGACGCCAAGGTCAGCTGGTTACACTTAACACATCACCGATTAAAAGTGCATTGAATAAGAATTGCATATCTTTACCCTAATAGTCTCAAAATGAATAAAAGCTGCTAAAAAATACTATGAAAGTGATTATGACTTTTAGACATACATCCATATATATAATCAGAAATGCTTTGTTTATGCCAAGTGGAAATTGGATTTTGCAACAGTAACTCCATTTAACATAAGTCAATTAAAGATATTTATATAAACACAATCACATCAAGATCAAAATAATCCTTTTATTCCGTAGGTATTCAAGCTTCTTGCAAGAACATATGCAAACGCACATGAGTCGATGTCCACTTCAAGTGCCCGCTGTGGATCGTCTCATGGTGTCAGTGAGAAAGGAACCGTTAACGGAGCGCAGTGGTCCAGCATTGCAGGCAGTAAGTTGAAAAAGTCAACATTATTCAACCCTAACAGTGTCAATGTCCATTTCTTAATTTGAAATACAACTGAAATGTCAGATGGAGCCACCAGAGGTCGCTGTTGGACACATTATGATTGAAAACAGAAGTGTAGGGGAAAGATCAGCACGGTTTCTCAGGGATTTCTGGGTAAAGCAATTTTGTTTTTGTCTCTGGTCAGGCATGCAGGACTTCAACTATCTTCATACCAACTGCTTCGAGGTGACTGTGGAGCTGGGCTGTGAAAAGTTCCCAGCTGAAGACGAGTTGTTTAACGGCTGGCATGAAAACTTTGAGGCTTTACTCACATTTATGGAAACAGTAAGTAGATATATGATTTAAGGATGCACTGATCCAATGTAAAGGGATTTCACCCTCCCACAACTTTTGAACACATCTCTTCTTTACTACAGCGTAAGTGGAGGCTTTGAGTTCCCACGAACAGACTTTTGCTCTGAGAGTGTGGTTTCAATTAAAGAAAAACTGCTTGCGTCCTTAACTTTTGATGCATGGAGATGTTCATCATTATTGAGGTTAACTTTCAACTGCATTTGCAATTATTTTTCCTAAGCGACTGTGTTGTTCCTCAGGCCCACCGAGGTATCAAAGGCATCGTAAAAGACGAGGATGGAAATTCAGTCAAAGGTGCACAAATATCAGTCAGAGGAATACGCCATGACGTCACCACAGGTAATACATCTCTGCTGCTAACAATGTGCCTCATTATTCCATAGATGAATCAGACAAATCTATGACATTAGATTTATTTCCTTGTTTTTTTTTTTGTTTGTTATGGCCAACATGACAATTTTTCTGTTAAGGGGGACTATAGCAATTTTATATCACACTGCCATAAACAAACAACAAAACCTCAGATTTTTCTGCTAGCTGATATATCCCGCTGGGAGAGCCTGAAGACCAAACAAAGATGGATGCCACACTTCAACCAATATCTGTCATTTTACTTTCATTTAAAACTTGAATATAGTGTTATAATTATATTAAGAGTATTATTAATTCTTGCACAACCAACTCTAAAGTAAATCTGTTTTGAGTTGATATTTACACTTCCATCTTTCCCATCTTTCCCAACAATGTAAAGGCTTTCCCTTTGATGAGTGTAGTGTAACATTCGTGTGGTAGCCCTACCTATTTGTAATGTTAATTATAAATCCAAACACTAAGCCTGCTTCTCCCTGCGCAGCTGAGAACGGAGACTACTGGCGCCTCCTCACCCCCGGGGTCCACATCGTGACGGCCTCGGCCCCCGGCTACGCCAAAGCTATAAAGAAAGTCCATCTGCCCGGTCACATGCACACAGCAGGCCGGGTGGACTTCCTGTTGAAGAAAGCTGAGCTAGAGCCTGACAATCAAGAGGAGGAGGACTCCATCCCTCCAATGGGCAACTACGACCGCTTCGACCCTTACAACCAGTACGAGCGCTACACCCTGATTGCCGATGTGAGCCAAAACCGTCCGGAGAGTGCAAAGAAGCCCTGGTGGTGGAGCTACTTCATCCTGCCGGAGGGCCCAGAACCAACATGGCTGCTCAAACACCATTAGACAGTTCATGTACCTCCTTCCACTGTATACACACAAACACAGCTATCCTGTAATGGATGTGCTGCCTCTGATTGATGTCACACTGCAGATAAGTGTCAAAGCTAGGTGGCTGGTCTTCATGTTAGCATTCACACTTTACATATACTGTTAATCACCACCATGAAATATAATTGTAATAAAATATTTTATAACAACTTTCCAGCCGAAATGAAGAACTTTTTGTGTCCATTCAGTGTTAGTTTATAAAGTCAATACAGCTGCACCATACCTGTAATGAAACTATGGATCCACTAGAGGGCATGCTACATCAACTTCTGAGCCAAGTTACTGCAAACTATTGGCTCAAGTATTTCTCCCACACACTTAACTTTTGCAAAATGTGCAGAAATAGTTCTGTGATCATGTATCTTAAGTTATGTTTAGTCAGTTTTGTATTATAAGGCTTTTCTAAATTATATTGCATTTCTTTTTGTTCAGATGTTGCGGTGCAGCATCTTTTAAACTACAGATGAACAAAAAAGTTGCTTACCATTAAGTAAGTTATAATGATTATAAAATAATTTACATTTCTAAAATAATGTTACATTTCCTAAAAGTCTTTATAAAAGTATTTGAAAATCTTAAAATTAAGCAGTCTACTCCTAAGTCTTAATATGCTTTAATCACTATTTGCCATTTGTTCTGGCAAAAAGGGATTATCCATTGTCTGAATGTGTTATTAAGAATATATTTATGGAGGCATCCTGGTCCATAAAAATCAAGGAAAGAAAACTGAATAATAAAAACAAGTATAATATTCAGCCTTACCGTGCCTCCCCACTGATTAAATCTACGTACATTTAATCTCCTTAAATCAAATACACCCTTCTCTATGACCTGATTAATCCCAGATAATGAATAAAACTTCTGTCATTATATAATTAGCGGGAAAGCTCATTTCTGTTTGTGTACATTTCCAAATACCAGTTTAAAGGTGGAGCTAATCTGCTTCAAATACTTCCTGCTGTTGAAAGCTCATACACCACAGTCGTGTAAACGTTTCTATGATATTTCTATATTGTTAAAATCATGACATCTATAAACACTGGGATATTATTTATGATTGCCAAATACACTAGTTACATTTTTTAGTTTAATTTCAAGGGAGGTATTGAGTTACGTACCAAGTTGAGGCATAAGCATGAAAAAAAACAACAATCAGAAATGAGAAACAGCTTGAGAAAACAAGGAATAAATAAAAGGTTAAATAGCTGAGTCAAACTGTGTTACACTCAGCTAAATAAAACAACACAAGTTCACCTGAATAAAACCCAAGTGGACAAACACGCCTACAATGAAAAACAGTACAATTAGCAATAAAGCGTGCAAGAGCATCCCAGCCCTAGGGATCGGTGGAGTCCCAAATCTTATAAACAAAACCGCCTTTTTTTGTGAGTTCACTAAAAGAAGCGTGGGAAAATCAAATTAACCCCGTGTAAAGGTCGAGGAATACCACGATAGAATCCTAGAGAGAAGTCTGCTCAGTGAACCAATGACAAGTCAGTGAAAAAAACACCAGGCTTCTCAGGGGATTTACAAAACACAAACACATGATTCGGAATCAAACCCGCTCAGCCAAACAGAGAATGAATGTACAGTAGAGCTGGAAATATATTGTGCTCCTGTGTTCTGTCTGTTGGCATCAGCTGTGTCTTTATCCGTGACGTACTGTACAGGCATGTGACTTGGTAATGTCAGTATAGTATTGTATGGTAATGAGATATTCAAAAAGGTACAACACAGTCCTTTCAGCCACATCTTGGTTGCTGTGTGCACATATGGTTTAGTTTGTCATCATGTGATCAAATTACAGAACTTCATTCATGTGTATTGTGTTTACAGGTGGTTGAAGATGAGGAGGTCTATGACTCCATTCACAGATAAAAGGACACATTATGTGGGTAAAAGCTGCGAAAACAACGAGTGAGTGGGCCTTGTTTTTAAATATATATTGTAGTGCCGTGAAAAGGGAGTCGGAGGCGGTGTATTCAGAATGGAGTTCCAATCTTTATTAGCCATTAATAACAGAGAGGTTAACACATGACTGCTCTGCTTGACGAGCTAGCAGGAATGGCAGCTGAAGCTACCGGTGTTCCCACTAAAGGGTCCGTGTGGCAACACAATACGAGAGGTGAATTATGTCCAATAACGTGTCACCACAATATATCATTTGTTTTAACCGAAGTTAAGATATGACCTTTCAAGCTCAACTGTGCCAAAGTGGTTTTACAGCAGTCGAAAATAACTTTGGGCATTTCATATAGCCGTTGGTTAATACATTTGACATGGAGCAACAGGCTTCCAAATGATATGGTATGTAGCCATCCTATTGTATAAGCAGGAATAGTGGGTTTTTTTGTTCAGTTTCCAGGTCAATTCTTTAGCATTTTCTTTTTCCATTAGTGTCTGTACAGAGATGATTTACCAGGGTAGCTGGTTCAGAATCAGAATCCTTTATTAGTCCCACAGCACAATTTACATTATTACAGCCAAAGACATAGGCTACAATGATACAGAATAAGCTAACACGTTAGAAGAAAAGTGCTCATTAGTTATACTAGAATAAAAGACAAATAATTAGCTAAGTACACATCCATGGCTAAAAACGATGAGCAGCAACTTCAGAATGTAATGACATATGTTATCTGGTGGTTGGGACAATGGTGGTTTTCACATAAAGGTGATTATTGCACAGTATTTCAAGAAAAGTGTCTTTAATGCACTTTTTGAAAGTGTTTATTGGAAATCAAAGGCAACTGTTGAACTTTTCCTTGATCGGTTTTCTTTGCAGCAATGTTATAGTATATGAGCAAATATTCATTCACTTTGTAGGTTACTGTTGTTTTTTTTTGCTGGACATCTGATTTCAGTTTCTATTTTCGACTGCTGTAAAACCACTTTGGCACAGTTGAGCTTGAAAGGTCATATCTTAACTTCGGTATGTGCACATTAACTCAATGCTTCCAGATTATAATTAATCACATTACACGAGAGGAACAACATGGGTTTACTGGTGTTTTATAAGCCATTTACCCAGTGTAAAAATGCATTTAGGAATCAAATAAATATGTGATGAAGTGTAAAATGCTGCGAGCATACATCTGGCATGAAGTCTGCCCATGAAGTGCACGTCTTAAGTAAACTGACAGTTAATGTAGTGAGAATAGATCTCTCAGTTTTTACGAGTAACCTTGCTTATTTGAGCTGCATGAAGCCAGGTTTGTCAGTTAGCTCAGAATAACTTGCACCATTGCTCCAGAAATTAGCTGGAATGTTGAAATGCGACATTGATGCCACCCTGCTCCCTCCCACAGAGTGATGGGACTGAAGTCTAAACCAAACCAAACACTGCGTCAAACCTGTGCCTCGCTCTGAATGAATGACTGCTTTTTATTTGTCACATGCTTTTTTTAGCGAGCATACGACAATCCCATGCCGGATTGACCCTGTTTGCTTTTCTGGGACCGTTCCTGGAGCCGCCCCTTGTCAGGTGGGGTGCTGCTGGGTCACCAATTACTTGGCGGGGCTGAGAAAGTCGCATAGAGCCGCCCTGAGCTGCCATGTTGTGTTAGCATCATGCTGCTAGCAAGGAGCTGAGAAACGCCTCATTCCAGTGAAGCTGTTCTCAAAGCAGCTTATGCCCCGACTCAAGATCAGTTTGTAACTATGACTATTTATTTTACTCAGTCCTCCATGTGAGGTGCCAGTGTCAGAGCAGGAGGTTACTTGTATTTTGTTAATTTCTTCATACACCTATTCGCTCATTTAGAATACAACTGTAAAATGTCGTGGCAATGAAACACATGTAATTTGAATCCAGCAACTTTATTTATAGCATTCAGGACTTGCAAAAGACCAGGGGTTACAAAGGGCTGTAAAGGGGGAAGAAACAATGAAGATGAAAAGAAAGAGAAGACAAGATAGCACAACTAAGATAAGAAATAGTTAAGAAATCCAAAAAGAGACAACAAAACAAAACCTATCGAGCATTACTTTCCATCAGCAAACCTTGTGTGTCACACATTTGCTAGTAGCTTAACAGTAGAGGGACACTATTGTTTTGTTTTGTTCTTCATGGTAAGAAAAAGGCTTAGATATAAACATATTGGTGCATCCTTGTCCTAAAGTATGTCACTTATGTCCAACTAACTCCCCTCACTGTTCCTATCTGCACTACAAAAACTATTATAGTTTATATAAGTTGAATTGTTTATGATTATGCATTTTATGTATTTTTTTTACCCCTCTTAGGAGTCAGAAGATGAGCTAACTTGAGGGAAGTGGAGATAAAGTGTTTAGTGCAGATTTCCATTCCATCCCAACACAAGCACTTGAAACACAGTTAGAATGATATACAGTATATTTCACTTCTCAGCATCCAGTCCCTCTGGTTGAGTTTATTCGTAGGGAGCAGTATTTAAAGTACAGCACATGATTTCAGAAACAAATTGTATTCCTTGTTTACAGCTACAGGCTTTCTAACAGTATAAAATATAGATTGCAGTCTTATTCAGGGCATTCTGCTTTTGACTTCCACGTTTCATGTTGTCAAGTGCAAACTGGTAAGCAAACATTTGGATATTTATTTGCTATTTGAGGACATTACACTTCTCAAGTCACATGCATCTTCATATAAAACTAATTTAAGATCACTCTGGCTTCCTTCTTTGCTTCTTCACAACATCCCCGAGAATCGATTCCCTGTAACAAGTGTATCCTTTACAGAAGTGCAGGACGTTAAGCTACAAAGACATTATTGTTCTAATACTGTCACTGTTTCCTGCAAAGTTAGCATTGATGTTTGAACAGCAGCAAGCCATTTAATGTTCTTAAGCACAATAGTTAGAACACATCAGGTTTGAGTTACAATGGCACCTACTCCAGAACAAAAAAAACATTAAATGTTCTCATTTCATTCATAAATTATACCGAGGTTTATTGAACTTCAAGTGAAAAGTACCCACACATCACACAGTATTTTAGCATATGTGTTGATGTAACTGAATTATCCTTTTACCATCCTTATTCACTGGGCCTTGCCAAACTCCCATTATTGCAAAAACAGCATTTCATTTCCTAATAATGGCTCAATGTCAGGTCCAATTGAGTCTGCTGGTTAGGCGGCAGCAATTACTGAATGGTACATGTGCAGACAACTCCTC